CCCCCCCCCCCGCCCCGTCCATGGTAACTTCTAATGTACCTTCTGTTTTTATGAATTTGCCTATTCAAGATATTTCATATAAGTGGAATCATACAGTTTTTGTTTGTTTTTTGACTGACTTAGTTTTGGCTTTCATTTAAGTTGTAATATGTGTCAGAACCTCACTCATTTTATGACTGACGTGTGTATATGCATATTATATCTCTCTATATGAATATATAGAAAACATGTAGCATGTATGGTTATCCATTCATCTGCTGATGGACCCTTGTTGTTTTCAATTTTTGGATGTTTGAATAATGCTGCTATGAACATCGCCATACAAGTACCTGAGCACCTGTTTTCAGTTCTTTGGGTGCTATACCTAGACATAGACTTTCTGGAGCACATGGTAATTAATTCTATGTTTAACTTTTTGAGGGATTGCACATTGTTTCCATAGCAATTACAGAATTCTACATTTCCACCAGCAATGAACAAGTGTTCCTATTTTTTCACATCCTTGCTAACTCTTTTTATTGTCCACTTAAAAAAATCATAGCCATCCTAGTAGGTGTGAAGTGGTATCTCATTGTACGTTTAATTTACATTTCCCACACGACTAATCCATGTTAAGCATCTTTTCATGTGTTTAATGACCATTTGGGTATCCCAACTGAAGAAATATCTATTCAAATTCTCTGCCCGTTTTTTTAGGATTGTTTGTCTATTTTGTGTAGTTGTAGGAGTTATTTATATATTTGAGGGATTAAATATTTATCAGATATATGATTTCCAAATATTTTTCCCACTCTGTGGTTTATTTTTTCAATCTCTTGATTTAAATCCTTTGATACACAAAATTTTTTTTATTTTAATGAAGTCCAATTTGTCTAGTTCTTATTTTGTTTTCCATGCTTTTTTTTTTCGTATTTAAAATCTAAGATCATACAGATTTGCCTGTATATTTTCTTCTAAGAGTTTTATAGTTACGTGTTTTATGGTTAGGTCTTTAATCCATTTGAAGTTAATTTTTTGTTTATGGTGTGATTAAGGGTCCAATTTCATTCTTTTGCATGTGGATAGACAGTTTTCCCAGCAATGTTATTAAAGAGGCTGTTCCTTCCTCTTTGAATGGTCTTAGCACCTTTGTGAAAATCAGTTGATCACAGAGGTAAGGGATTATTTCTGGACTCTAAATTTTGTTCCATTGGTCTCTGTGTCTGTCCTTATGCCAGTACCACACGATTTTGATTACTGTGCTTTGAGTTAGTTTTGAAATCAGAAAGTGTGAAATCTCCATCTTTATTCTTCTTTTTCAAGATTGTTTTGGCTCTTCAGGGTGTCTTAAGATTTCATATTAATTTTAGGATTTTTAAAAATATCTTCAAAAAATGCCACTGGACTTTTGATATATAGTGCATTGAATCTGTGTATTGCTTTGAATAGTATTGCCATCTTATCATTTTATAAATGTCATCTTTCATTTCTTTTGTCAATGTTTTGTAGTTTTCGGGGTACAAATCTTGTGCCTACCTTATTGAATTTATTCCTAAGCATTTCATTCTCTTGGCTACTACAATAAAATGATTTTTAAAAAAATTCCTTTTGAGCCGGGCTTGGTGGCTCAGCCTGTAATCCTGCGCCTTGGGAGGCTGAGGTGAGTGGATTGCCTGAGCCCGCGGGTTCAAGACCTGCCTGGGCAACTTGGTGAGACCTCATCTCTACAATAAATCAAAAATCAGTTGGGCGTGATAACGCACGCCTGTAGTTCCAGCTACTTGGAAGGCTGAGGCGGAAGGATCGCCAGAGGCCAGCAGGTCGAGGCTGCGGTAGCCAGTGGTGGCCACTGCACTCCAATCTGGGTGACAGAGTGAGACTCCAACTCAAAAAAAAAAATTCTTTTTGAATTGTTCATCTTTAGTGTATAGAAATACAGTGTATTTTTGCATATTGGTTTTGTATCCTGCAACTTTGCTGAATTCATTTATTAGTTCTAACAGTTTTTTCAAGTGGTTCTTTAAGAGTTTTCTAGATATAAGATATAATCTGCAACATAAATTACTTTGCATCTTCCTTTCCAGTTTGGATGCCTAAGTTCCAATTTTGTGTTTGCCAAATTTCCCTGGCTATAACCTCCAGCACTATATTGAACAGAAGGAATGAAAGCGGCATCTTTGTTTTGTTCCTGATATTAAGGGAAAAACTTTCAGTCTTTGCCATTGAGAATTGTGTCACTTATGGGTTTTTTATATATAGCATTTTCGTGTTGAGAGAGTTCTCTTTAATTCTTAGCTTATTGTATGTTTTTATCATAAAAGAGTTTTTATTTTGTCAAAGGTTTTTTTTCCTGGATAAATTGAGATGATCTTGTGATTTGGTATGCTCTTTAACCCAACAAATATCTCACTTTATTTGCACACTTACACCCTTATGCACTGATTAATCAGAATTAAAGGCGTATGCTCTGTGATATTAACATAAATTCATATGATAGCACTCATGTCTTCATTAATATACTTTTTTGTCTTACTTGATTGTGAGCAACTCCAGAGTAGAGACGTTATTTTATA